CGACATGATCGCCCAAGCGTGTATCCAGTATGACAATTGAACAGTCACAGCCAGATGATGCTTGCCGGAGAGACAAACTTATTAGTTCACAGGGAGAAATCAATAGACTGTATTATATAGTCTATTGATTTGAACTGTCCTTTGAAGTTAAATGATGAAGGTAGATCATCAGACAGATTAAAAGATATATATATATATATATATATATATATATATATATATATATTATGTCACTTGATTCCTTGGGGAACATAGGGCCTCAGCAGCACCTTTCCAACGGACGTGGTTCTGGGCGATCCTCTTCAGCTCGGCGCATGTGCCGGCTTTCTTTATCTCTGCGTCGACACTTCTACGCCAAGTCTATTTTGGACGGCCCAATTTTCGCTTCCGTTGTGGATTCCAGTCAAGGACCTGCTTGGTGACACTAGAAAGAGGCTTGCAGAGTGTGTAGCCGATCCATCTCCATTTCCGTTTCTTGATGCCAGTCTCGATTGGGGCTTGTTTTGTCTTGATCACCACAATTGGTCGTTGGTGACGACTTCGGGCCTCCCGATATTGAGGATATTCCAGAGACATCGGTTGGTAGATGTCTGAAGTTTGTTGGCGTTGGTCTTGGTTACCCCTCAGGTTTCTGAGCCGTAAAGTAGGACCGGCTTGACGTTGGTGTTGTAGATCCGGATCTTGTGAAGCGAGGGGGCGGTTGATCTCCAGATTGTGTGTTGAAAGCGTGTCAGGCTTTGTTGATTCGGCACTTGATGTCTTTATCCCTCCCACCATCTTTATGGATGATGCTTCCCAGATAGACAAACTTATTACTTCACAGGAAGAAATCAATAGAATGTATTATATATCGTCAATCGTTATCTTCCGTCTTCATGAGTTTTCATTGGATAGTTTATACGGATCATAGACTTGTGGTTGGGAATAAGTAATGGGATAATTTAAAATCCACTCTAGGTCGATTACTGGTGACTATAGTCGGCGACTAAATCGAATTAGATTAGCAGTGCAAAAGTCGATCAAATCCCGTGATAGTGGGGAGATAGCTTTAGCTAGGGTCGATTTGGCCTCCTTGCTTATCAAGAAAGATCAAGCTTTGGTAATTAGGGCTAGGTTAAAAAGAATGTAGAAGAAACTAGAAACGCATCCAGTAGACATACCGCGGGCGTTATATTGCTGGATAAGTGGGCCGTGACAGCAAACGCAGGTATGTGTGAGGCTTTTGTGACTACTTCAGGATCTGTTCACCAGGGAGCCCGGTTTGAGTACTGCTAAGTTCAATGGCTACTTGACCGAATTTCCCCGCCTCAAGGCGGCTGAAGCGGCTGGTTGCGAGGGTCCCATCACAGAATCGGAAATCTGGGAAGCTCTGAAGCTGATTGACTGGGACGAAACTCCGGGATTAGATGCTCTTCCTTAGGATATTCACTTGAGGCAGTCGCCCGTTCTTGTTCCTCTGCTGGGGTCGCTTCACCAGGGGTGTGATCATGTTGCTACGCAAAGACAAAAACGGTAGGGATGACCTTTTTAAACAGACTAGATGCTGGTGAAAGTTCATTGTAACTAATGGCCGAGTTCAACATAGGAAAGTTAACATTGTAGGTTATAAAATCTTCCAAAGAAACTATTCCCCAGCGTTCACACTGTCACAATGAACAAGGCAATAAAAAAAAAACATGATTGTGATGAAACCTGGACTGAAATTGAAAAAGCTTTTGAAAAGGTTGTTAGTTTTATGGAAAGAAAGCCACCATTCAGATATGACGATTGCAATAACGCTCACAGATTTAAAAGTATCTTTCATTAAAAAATTTCAAGAACAAAAGTAAAACGAAATGCGGTAAAAGTTGAGAATGGCATTAGAAGAGAAAGAATCATCACGAAACAGCGATTCAAAAATCCTCGTTATATTATTTGTTTTGCAGATGTGGCATACTTAATTTAATGAATCTTCATTAACATTACATTATTTCTTTTTCCATAAAATCAGTTCCGTTATATTTCACTCACCATTAGCTTATTTTGTTTACTATAAAACATTGAAAATAAATGTTAAACCTCATTTCAGTTCTTTTATTTTAATCAAAATATAACCTCTCATATGCGGACTTTGTAACCAATTCCTCATATCCGGAAGGCCTTCTTAGTTTGGTTGTCAGGGATTCTACTGTATTACTATTACCGATAAAAGTGATAGGATACGACACAAGGTCAGTTTAATGTGGGGAACCCGAGCGCATGCACTCGGGACAGGTTCAAAAATAGCCAAGCGCCCCTCATCTGTTAGTTGAGCTGACATCAGTATTGCTACCAATACCCCACCCCCACACTTCTTAGTGCAATAGGGGAGGTACTGCCGTGGGTTTTTGTTCACCGGAATCGGTCACCTCTAAGTATTGGTTCTGTTGCACTCTGCCCGAAAACAAAAACACAATCGAAAGTTAAAATGTAGTTTGTCAACCCGAGACAGATACTACACTTTGCTCCGAGCCCAATGGCCAGATTGTGAAGAAAACCGGGATGTCTAGCACTAGTTGCCCGGCCAACGGATGCCGAATGTTTCCTTATAGGGAAACGGCTAATATTACGATTAACAATTATTCAGTTTTTTTTGTTGTTACATACACACTTTGTTATAAATGAATAATTCTATAGTAATAAATATAATGAAATGTTCACTTATCTTATCCCTACTCTGAGTTTAATATTATCGTTTATGATGAAGAGGTGACGGACAAAATGTCATGGTAAAGTGATTACTGGCGTGGGGCGGGGGTAAATGACTTAATCATACACCGTGTATCCAGAGCTTCTTTCAGAGTTTGAAACCTTTTAGCTGAATGTATTGTCTTGAAAATCGTACTGTTCCCAAAGTGCAAACGGCAAAACACTTCATAATATTCGGTTCGAGTACGCTGCTCAAATTACCCAAACTTTGGTTTAGGGAGGCGCGAAATAAAATGCACCCCATAACACACACACACACACACACACAGAGAAGGAGGAGGATGATGCACGCGCGTGCACACACACACACACACAAATATATTCATATATATATATATATATATATATATATATATATATATATATAAAAAAAATAGAAAATTGTTAATTAAATAATACTACGTTAAAAAAGTAATTAATCAATCAAAGAATTACCAGCATTTAAAGCAAAAATAAAGAACAAGAGCTTAGGAATTAATTAAGTATTGATTTCAGACTCTGCGACTCGCGAAATACCATACATGAAATTTCTTTGTCTTTTGTCTTAAACTGAATCGTTATCCAAGACAATTTGTAGATTTGTAAATAGCGATTCAAGAAAATCTGTAACGAAGCCTGTGAACGTCAGTGATTTTTCAGAAATTGTTAACCATTTATAATATTTATTTATTTTTGTAAGCATTTCACCCCAAGCAAGGCGGGAGTGCCACTAGCACGCAAGGGGTTACAGAGAGTGAGAGTAAGAGTAAAGAGGGATGTTTGGAGAAAAGATAAAGAGGAGACGGGGATCATGATCAAGGCATCAGAAGATGTCGATTGACGTTACATTTGAATATTTGAAGATTATAGATATCAGGGAAGCAAGTAAGTGGAAGGAAGTGCGTCATAAGAAGCTGTTGGAGTAGAAGAGACGGCTACGTTTAATCGTTTCAACAGTGAAAGGGTGGGACCGAGGTCAGGTCTCCTCACTGAGTGCTCCATACTTCTGGCCTTGTGCCACATCTAAGCCACGCTTAGAAAATCAAGGTCTTCTTCTTGTTCTTCTTGTTCTTCTTCTTACCGTGTTCCATCAGGACGTAGGCGATCATGGCTCTCCACAATTTCCTCTCTCTGAAGTAGCTCTTCATAAATTTTCTCTTTTTGCTATTTCTCCTAAACCCTTTTCCGTCATCCATTTAATCAAGCTCATTAGGTATGCTATGTGTTGTTTCCCTCTGTCCCCCGTGCTTTCAATCTGTCCTGTGAGTATCAAATTTTCCAGGCCCTCTTTCCTCATTATGTGCCCTCAACTCGTTTTTCCCGATGTACTATACTTAGTATAAGTGTCCTTTTTTATTACCACTTTCTCTAAAACTTCGTCGTACCTCACATGTTTAGTCCATGTTATTCTCAGCATCCTTCTGTAGAGCCGTATTTCTGTTGCTTCAATTTCTTCTTCATCTGTGGGGACATTGTCCAGCATTCACTGATATATAGGAGGACTGATATTAACAGTTCAGTACTCTTTTCTTTGTTTCTAACGAGATTTTCCCTTTTCTTAATACTTTGCTTAGCTTTTGGAATGCATATTCCGCAATTCTAATCATATCACATGGTTAAAAATGTCCCTGTCGAACGCAAAACTGATTCAATGGTTGATTTCACTGACAGAATGGAAAAGAAAGGAGATACCTGATTCAAATGTCAACCAGTAATTGAAAACTTACCAATAATTCCGAAAACACAGTGTCAACGTCTTCAGCAGATGAGCCACTTCCTTACCTCTTTCTCTCTATTTCTCTCTCTACTCTTTCCCTCTATATGTTATCCCATCTATCGCTCCCCAACCCTCTAACTTATTCTACGTCTCTCCTCCTCCCGTTTCTCTCCTCTATTTTTCTTTTCCGCTCGGACACTCACGTCTCCTTCCATCTCTCCCTGTCTGCGACTCTCTTCTACATCCACTCTCTGCTTCTCCTTCCTCCTCCTCCTCCTCCTCTCTCTCTTTCAGTATTTTGCTACCTGAAACTCTCCCAAAGCGACCAACAATCTAGACTATTGGTTTTAATTGTTAGACTCAATAATCGGGCCGCAGGCTTCCAGCACGTGGCCGATATTAAATAGCAGAAAGGTACCCGACAGCGGTTGGAACACGGGAGGGCTAGAGGACCCTTTTCGCTCTGGCAAAATCGAGAAATTATGAATTTGTAAAGGAGAAAAGGGAGAGTCGCAAGTTTAGAAAACGGTGGTTAATGTAAAACAGATGGAGAAGGTGTTTGATAGATCGGGGCTGGCTAAAAATATTGCGTGGTATCAGAGAGAGAGAGAGAGAGAGAGAGAGAGAGGGAGAGAGAGAGAGGGGAGGAGGAGAGAGTGGAGGGGTGAGAGAGAGAGGGAGAGGAGTGAGGAGGAGTGAGTGAGGAGGGAGGAGTGAGTGAGTGAGTGAGTGAGAGTGAGAGAGTGAGAGAGGGGACTGAGCAGAAGAGGAAGAGAAGGAATAGGGGAGATGAGGTAAAGAAGCGCAAAGAGAGAGAGGAAAAGAGAGAGAAAGAGAAAGAGAGGGAGAGAGCAAGCAGAAGTGGAAGAGAAGGAGGGAGATGGGGTGAGGGAAGTGCAAAGAGAGAAAGAGAGTGAGAGGGAGAGAGAAAGTAGAAGAGGAAGAGAAGGAGGGAGATGGGGGTGAGAGAAGTGCAAAGAGAGAAAGAGAGTGAGAGGGAGAGAGCAAGTAGAAGAGGAAGAGAAGGAGGGGGATGGGGTGAGGGAGGTGCAAAGAGAGAAAGAGAATAAGTGAGAGAGAACAAGCAGAAGATGATGAGAAGCTGTGGAGGGAAAGGAGGTGATGAAGTGCGAATAGAGAGAAGAAGTGAGAGAGAGAAAGAGAGGGAGAGGGTAAGCAGAAGAGGAAGAGAAGGAATGGATTGAGATGAGGTGAGGGAAGTGCGAGAGAGAGAGAGGGGGAGAGAGAGAGAGAGAGAAAGAGAATAAGAGGCAGAGAGAGCAAGCAGCAGAGGAAGAGAAAGATTGGAGGGAGATGACGTGAAGAAGTTCGAAGACAGAGAGAGAAAGTGAATGAGAGGGAGAGTGCAAGTAAAAAAGGAAGAGAAGGAATGGAGGTGAGGAAGTGTTAAGAGAGAGAGAGAGAAAGAGAAAGAGGGCAAGCAGAAGAGAAAGAGAAGGAATGGAGGGAGATGAGGTGAAGAAGTGCGAAGAGGAAGAGAGGGGTAGGGAAAAGTAGTTAGAGAAGAGATAGAGGAAGAGAGAGAGAGAGAGAGAGGAAGAGAGAGATAAAAAGGTGAGAGATGTAGACTGATTCGGATCAGGTATAGCATAAGGTTGTGGAGTGCAGATTTATTGATATGGAAAGAAAAAAAAGAAATAAATTGCTAAAAGGCTCGTTTGAGATGAGAGAAAATAAGAAGGAAAGAAGGAAAAGTAGAGAGAAAAAGAATATTATTGAATAAAAAGAGAAGTAAAAGAAGTGGATGTATTTGACACGCATAAACATGGAATAAAGAAAGAAAGAAAGAAAGAAAGAAAGAAAGAAAGAAAGAAAGAAAGAAAGAAAACGGGGTTAAGTATAAGAAGCAGCTAAAGACAAAAGGGCGTAGGAATAAGTAAGGAAAGAAAGGACGGTACAAAGAAAGAAAGAAAGAATGAATGAATGAATGAATGAAAGAAAGAGTGGTTAGCTACAAAAAGTTAAAGAAAGAAAAAGACGTAAGAGTTAGTATAGGTAGGTAGGTAGGTAGGAAGAAAGAAAGAAAGAAAGAAAGAAAGAAAGAAAGAAAGAAAGAAGCCAGGAAGGAAATAACGAAAAAGTAGTTAACTATAAGAAGTAGCTAAAGAAAAATCTGTTTCAGTACTGAAAGAAAGAAGCCAAGTTGGAAGGAAAGAAGGAAAGGAAAGGAAGGACGGAAAGGAAGGAAGGAAGGAAGGAAGGAAAGAAAAGGAAGGAAAGGATGGAAGGAAAAAGGACGGAAAGGAAGGAAGGAAAGGAAGGAAAGAAAGGAAGGAAAGAAAGAAAGGAAGGAAGGAAGGAAGGAAGGAAGGAAAGAAAGAAAGGAAGGAACAAACGAAGGAAGGAAGAAAGGAAAGGAAGGAAGGAAGGAAGGAAGGAAGACAGGAAGAAAGAAGGAAGAAAGGAAAAGAAGGAAGAAAGGAAAGGAAAGAAGAAAAGGATAGAAGGAAGTAAAGGAAGGAAGGAAAGGAAGGAAAGGAAGGAAAGGAAGGAAGTAAAGGAAAGAAGGAAGGAAAGGATGGAAGGAAGGACGGAAAGGAAGTAAAGGAAAGAAAGGATGGAAGGAAGGAAGGAAGGAAGGAAGGAAGGAAGGAAGGAAGGAAAGGAAAGGAATGAAGGAAAGAAGGAAAGGAAAGGAATGAAGGAAAGAAGGAAAGGACGGAAGGAAGGAAAGGGAGAAAGGAAAGAAGGAAGGAAAGAAGTAAAGGAAGGAAGGAAAGGAAGGAAGGAAAGGAAGGAAGGAAAGGAAGGGAGGAAGGAAGGAAAGAAGGAAAGGATAGAAGGAAGGAAGTAAAGGAAGGAAGAAAAGGAAGGAAAGGAAGGAAGGAAGGATGGAAGAAAGAAGGAAGGAAAGAAGGAAGGAAGGAAGGAAGGAAGAGAGTAAGGGTGAAAGGAAGGAAATAAATTGAAGGGGGGGTAGCTATAAAAAGCAGCTAAAGAACAAAAAGCCGCAAGTATCAATATAAAAAAGAAAGAAACACTTAGAAATGTCCAAAATAAAGAATGCCTAAGAATCTGTGTAAAGAATTAAAGAAAGAAAGCAAGAAGGAAAGAAGGAAGGGAAGAAAGAAAGAAAGAAATTCCTATTAAAATGATAAGCACTTCTCTTTCTCTCCTTTCTATTCATTCATTAACCGATATTGTGTATTGCGACATTTAAAAAAGGGGAGGTGATGTTCCCATATTAACCATTGTTGGCTATTTTTAGTAACCTACCTACCTACCTACCTACCTACCTACCTACCTACCTACCTTCCTTCCTTCCTTCCTTCCTTCCTTGTTTCCTTCCTTCCTTCCTTGTTTCCTTCTTTTATTTACTTTCGTTCTTTCTTTCCTTCCTTCCTTACTTACTTTACTGATACGGCTTTTTTCTTTCTTTGCTTCTTATAGCTAACTCCCTTTTTCTTTGCTTCCTTCCATCCTTCCTTCTTACTTGCCATCTTTCTTTCTTTCTTTCTTTCTTTCTTTCTTTCATTCTTTCAATACTGAAACACATTTTGTTCTTTAGCTACTTCTTACAGGTAACCCCTTTTCTTTCTTTCTTTCTTTCTTTCTTTCTTTCTTTCTTTCTTTCTTCACTTATTCTTACACCCTTTTGTCTTTAGCTGCTTCTTATAGTTGCCCGTTTTCTTTTCTGCCTTTCTTCCTTCTTTCTAACTTCCATCTTTTTTTTGCCAGTTTATGTGCCCAAGATGAGATTTCTCCCAAACTTCAGTAGTTTTCAATTACATTCATTAATTTAACTCTTCCTTCTTTTTTCTTTCTTTTTTTTTACTGCTTATTTCATTCACTTTCATTCTTTCTTTCTCTCTTTTTCTCTCTCTAAATATCTGGATATTTAGCGACGTCATCTAAACTTTAGTCGATAGTATCAACGTCCTGCAGTTGGCAGCACCAAAATTGGAATCGACGAACCGGGTTCAAACTCCGGCCAAGTTAAGTTCGTGATCAACTTGCACTAATGACTTTTGAAAATACAAGAATCTAGCTATTTACATTATCCGGACTATAGTCCTCATCTTTGTTGCTATATTTATTACAACGTTTCGGCCGTGGTACGCTCCGCTCTTCTTCGGGTAGTTAATTCCCCTCTTCAAGTTCTCTACTGCCTTAACCGTGTATTGAACTCACACTCTTTGGGTCTTGGAGATCTTGGAGAGGGGAATTGACAGGAAATAACTGCTAAGTGACATCCATTAAACATGGCACGTGGAACTAGAACAGTCTGCCCCAGTGAGCGAAATAAAGGGTTCAGTTCGACATTCCAACTACTCACTCACTCCCTAAGAACCAATTAACTCACACACACTTAACAGAGACACATCCCCATTTCCAGGAACCAATAAAACTGTGAAAATCACCAAGAGAATACAGAACAGCATGAATCCATCCAGCTCTCATCTCAAATAACAAAAGAAACTGTTTGCCCAACACCAAGACTGACCAAAATTCATGTTAAAAGCATAAATAATAAATAAATAAACAAATGAAAACTACAGACAAAAGTTCATTTTCTCAATCAAGACATTCATTTCTGTAGTCCACTGCTACCAGCAAGCAGAATTTTTTTTCTCCTGATGATGGCCATTGTTGGCCGAAACTAGTCGAGGAATCTAAATGAAATAATAAAAACGAAAGGATATTAATATACAACCCAGTGTGTCTGAAGACTTTAATTTTTTAATATTTGTTATTGTTCAATATATATATATATATACTTAAATTTTCTTTAATCTCGTTTACTTGTAATCTCTCTAACCTTTTAATGTCAGTATTATTTTGTGGAAAACGCAGATGTCTTGGGTAACTAAATTTGGATACATCCCTGAGTGGTGCGAGGTTTTGACATAACAATACGGCCGATACATGGACCTACAAGCGCAATGTCTAATGTGACGGTCGAATAGTACGGAGTGACAGCTGAGTAAGCCTAGAGGAGTGTGTCTGTCCATGAATGTCCATGAATGCGCCGGAAAGTGCCCTCTGATTGGTGGTTAGCTTACCTCAATTCTTGCAAGATTCATAATAGCTGGATACTTACCAGACAAACCAGAAGACATTTTTTTAAGCTGAAAGAATTATCAACTCGAATTAACTGTAATTAACCAGATTCCCTTAAATAGGCATTGTTACCTAATTGGAATTATAGCACTAATTAACTAACTAAATTAATTCTTATTGCAAGTGTTTAATCCGGTTATTAATTATTTGCACCGAAAAAGCATTCGTTGGTATAGAAACACTTCAGGATTACGGTGAATAAGGTTTTCAATTCGCAATAGTTATTCATTAATACATAGAGAGAGAGAGAGGGAGAGAGAGAGAGAGAAAGAGAGAAAAGGAAAGAGAGAAAAGGAAAGAGAGAGAAAGAAAGGAAGAGAAAGAATGAAAGAGAGAGAAAGAAAGAACGAAAGAAAGAGAGAGACAAAAAAGAAGGAAAGAAAGAAAAAGAAAGAGATAGAATGAAAGGAAGCATGAGAGAGGGAAAGAATGAAAGATAGAGAAAGAGAAACATATATAGAGAGAAAGACAGAGAAAGAACGAAAGAAGAAAGAAAAGAATTAGAGAAAGAAAGAGAAAAAAGTAAGACAGAGAAAAACAAAGAAGGGAAGGAAGAAAGAAAGAAAGAAAAAATAAAGAAAGTAACAGAGCGTGAAAAAAAAAAAAGACAAAAGGAATACAAGAAATGATGGAAATATCAAAAAAAAAAAAGAAAAAAAAAGAGCCGAAGAAAAAGTAAAAGAAAGAAAAATGGAAATAAAAAGAAAAAAATGAAAGAGAAAAACAAAGAGACGAAGAAAACCTAAACGAAAAAGAAATAAAACTCAAAAGTAAGAAAAAAATAAAAATTAAAGGAAAAAGAAAGAAAGCTATGAAAGAAAAAGAAATGAAGAAAGAGAAAGAGAGGGAGAGAGGGAGAGCAATATTAGACGAAAGAGACGAAGAAAAATTAAAAGAAAAGGAAAAATAAGAAAAAGAAATAAAAGAGAAAAATCAAAATAAAGAAATGATAAAAACAACAAATACAACAAAATTTCCCTTTCTGTCTGCCGTGGGAGAGGGTCTCTGACTGACGCCAAATCTAGCAACTCTGAAGTGCTGTGATACAGCGAAACAGTCTGTTTTGTGGATGACTATATATATATATATATATATATATATATATATATATATATATATATATGTAAGCAAATATGTGGATATAGATCAGACAGTATGAAGAAAAATACTTGCATATTCGGATTTTTGTTTTTCCATATTTTTCTTCATATATATATATGTGTATGTGTGTGCATGCGTGTGTGTGTGCATGCGCGCGCGTGTGTGTGTGTGTGTGTGCAGTGCTTATTGGAAAGCGCTCTCAATCAGTGATAAAACTCACATATTTAGTTGAATGTATATGAGTTTATGACCCTGGGTTTAATACGCTTATACGATTCTCAGACAAACTAATTTATTTTTTTTGATATTTGAGACTATTTATGCCAGTTTTTGTTTGATTACATTTGGTGTTTTATTATTACACATAATTGCAGGAAAGCTTTTTTCTTAATACAGAGATGAGTCTTTTTTTAATGTGGTGTTGATATTTATCGACATTCTCATGATCGCGAATTTTAAGCAAGGAGGAGATAATAAAATCGTATATATGTGTACCACTTGCAGTCTAGAATGAACCTGGGACCCAATAGGCCTTCAAAGCACACATATGTATTGATAATGGGACCGCTCATCGTGACTGGAGGAGAAAAAAAAACTCAGGTTCTGATCGGTAATAATGAAAGGTTACTAACTTTCGTATTCGAAAGTAAATCCAGTTTTTACCCACTGAGTTGTTAGAGATGGGTCCGGTCATCATGATTTTTGGAAGTTCTTCTATAAACGGTGAAAGTTATGGGAGTTTGTCTAAACAGACGACCGTACAGAGACTGGCTGAGATCGGAACAGAAGGACTGATGTTAGACTTACTTTCTTGTTTTATATAATGGAGCTCTCCTGTGGTGGAGGTAGATATTTTTCGGACACTCTATTACAGAAGCGTACTGAATAACGTTTCTTACTTCTACCGCGATTTCAATAACACCTGACTATTAAATTTTTGTGTAATGGTTAACAAGGTTGCCTTGCTAGAACAATTACGACTGGATAGTGAGTTCGATCCTCACTGGGTGCTGTAAGCTTTTGGCTTTGTGCCATATCTAAGCTACTCTTAGATTAGAAAAGACAGAGGAGAATGCAGAAGAATAAAGATGTTCTTTATTTATGTGTCTTTTCTCTTTCAGAATTTTAGTGTTCGTGGCTCTCCACAACTTCCTACCAATTGTAGCCGTAAGCAATATTTGTCTCTATTCGGTCACCCATTTACACAACTGTTATTTATATAGTCTGTCTTTTAGAAAATCATTTGGGGCAACCATTTAATGTTTAGCAAGCTTGTTTGGCTTGAACACTTACAATTGAGTAGTGAGTTCAATCCTTAATGGGTGCTCCATAATTTAGTCCTTGTGCCACATTTAAGCTACATTTTGAAAATCAAAACTTTTGATGCGGACGAAAGATGGTGGTGGAAGGAAGTGAAGGATCAGAATATGAGAAAAAATAAAACAAACCTGAATACATAGAATGCTAAATATGGTTTCTCCATCGGGGCTGATAAACCGTCAAAAATGATCAATCATTCAATTAAACTTTATCATAATTAAATAATCTTGACATTGGTTTGAATTTATTTTAAAATCAAAAGTGTACACTTAGGTCTGGATTTACACTGGAGTTACCTCTAATCGGATGATTGGGGGTTTTGTTTTTTACGGCTTTGAGCTATAAAGGATAGAAAGTTGTGGAGAGCCATGAACGTCCACACCTTGAAGAGATAGAAGGAAACATAGAGTAACGCAGCTAACTCTTTTCTGCTATTCATTTGTGTAAATGGATAGCAGAACAGAGAATGGGAGGGATAGTAAGAGGACAAACATTGCTTAACATTACAAATGATAGGAAGTTGTGGAGAACCATGATTGCCAACATTCTGAACGGTCAGAATGAAACATCAACTACTATACCTACGCAGCTTGTGTAAATGGACGACAGAACAGAGACCGTGAGAGATAGTAAGAGGAAACACATTGCTTAAATCTATAAATTATAGGAAGATGTGGAGAACCATGATCTTCTATATCCTGTAGGAACAGAAGGAAACATTGAGTAACATAGCTAATTTTCTAATGTAAATAGATAGTAGAACAGAAACTAGGAGGCATAGTAAGAGGAGAAGAATTGCTTTTAACTATAAAGGATAGGAAGTTGTGGAGAGTCATGCTCACTCACGACCTGAATGGACATGGGGAAGCATCGAGTAACATGCCTAACGAGCTTGTGTAAATAGTTAGTGGAATAGAGACTGGGAGAGATAGCAAATTAACAAACATTGCTACAACTGATAGGAAGTTGTGGAGAGCCACGATTACCAACGTTCTAAAGGGAAAGGACAGATAAATTAGGAATATCTTTATTTTTCTGCATTCTCATCTGTTTTTCTTTCGCAGAACAGAGTCTGAGAGATAGAAAGAGGAGAAATATCGCTTTGAACGATAAAGGATAGGAAGTCATGGAGAGTCATGATCATTTACATCATGAAGAGACAGAAGGAAACATCGAGTAACATGCTTAACGAGCTTGTGTAAGTGGGTGGCCGAATAGAGACTGAGAGAGACAGTAAAGGGACAAACATTATTAAACGATACAACTGGTAGGAAGTTGTGGAGAGCCACGATCACTAACGTTCTGAACGGGAAATGACACGTAAATAAAGAATATCCTTATTCTTCTGCCTTCTTCTCACCTCCCCCTCTTATTCTCCTTACCTCCCCTTATTCGCCTCACCTCGCCTTCTTATTCTCCTTACCTCCCCTTATTCGCCTCACCTCCCCCTCTTATTCTCCTTACTACCCTTATTCGCCTCACCTCCCATTCTCATTCTCCTCACCTCCCTCTCATTCTATACCCATGCTTTCCCTCCTCCCACTTTTGGATTCTATTCTTCATTCTTTGAATAGTTTTTCAGCTCACTTCCGCTTTCTCTTTTGCCCCTTTCGTTATCTTCGAACGAAATATCTTCGAAAAATTCTTTCATGCTTGCCCGACGGATTTCATTCATCTTACTGATTGTCACACTCTTATCAGAAGAGCCTGCATAAACTCGACCATTCTAACGAAGAACAAATGTTTCTGAGACCCTTCAACGCCCCGATGCTAAGGGTCAAACCGGCCAGCGGTCATTTGTTATCCATCTTATATGTGTGTGTGTGTGTTTGAACGGGGTTTTGAAAGGCTTGGGTGGTCAGTCCAATAAATATTACTTGAATCTAGCGGAAGTCCCATCAGAACCTCAAAGAATTACAGCGAAGATTGCAATAAATAAAGAAATAAATAAAAGACATAAACCGTGGGAAAATGGTCAGAAATTTATCAGAACCATCCAGCAGAGTCAAAGAACGCGAAAAACATAGCTGGTTCCAAATTCTTAGAGCATACGGCCATATCACAATGAAACACCGATTTTCGTACGCTGACCGAAGTTAAACCCTTCAAATTTAGTACCTACACAGGTTACTGCTTAGGAATAGCAAGTGCTGTAAGCTTGGAGGTGTGCGGGTGGTGTAACAGAAATAGCTAGAAATTGGAACTCGGAGAGCCGTGTTTCAATTTCAGTCGTGTTCGTTATATTAACGTACGCGCAAATACCATTAGGAAAAGTATAAATTGACCTTTTTCGACCCCCGCTATGGGTTAATTATTAGAATTTGTATCGGTAAATCATTATTATTTCAAAAAAGTTCTTACATTCTAAAAAGTTTGATAGACCGTAAAAAACAAATCAATCAGTCAAAAATACATTTCTCAAAACCGTTGTGGTTAATCGATAGTAATATAGGAAAAATGAACTCGAGATTATGAATTTAAATTTAAATTTTTCTTTAAATTAGAAAAAAATCACATTGTATGGGCATTTTCGTAGGGGGTGATTTACAATGAATTTACATCAAAAACTGAACCCCAATTATCTTTTCTAAAATATAATTACTATATTTCCCGGCTTACAAGACGCTGCGGTTTGGAAGACGCACCCTAATATTGGAATGAAATTTCTAAAAAAAAGAAGTCATTCTCATACAACAATACATTCACCATGCGTCCCTCACATACTAGCGCCACGTATTGTTTACAGTAATCACTCGTCTGATTTTGTTTGTATGGCAATGACATACTAGTTAAGAGGAGAAAGGCTCCCGACGCTGCTAGTAAACAGAGCATGTTTAAGATTGTGGCTCAGCTCCAGGAAGGTTTATAGTCTTGAAAATACTTGTAACAGCTAAGTACTGAGGTTACATCATATAAAAGGCTGAATTAGATAGATAGCTAACATTATAGTGTAATGACTCAACATACAAATCCACGTCACTGTTAGTCAATTACGTGAGAGTCCAAACTTTCTTGAGACTAGGCATTGTCTTACATTCGTCTTAGAAGACGCACACGTATTTTTCAGGGTATAATTTGCTAGGAAAAAAGTGCAAGCCGGAAAATAGGTAAATAAAATAATAAATTATTATTCATGTTTAATCTGTAATAATACATAAAACGAAAAAATAGTTATTTATGGTCGCAGAGCCTATTGTACAACTCAGCCTAATATTGTCTACAAATTCTCATATCCTTTGGGAGATGGGAATTCCCCGTACCAATAAAAATAATAATAAATAATGTTAAATACTTACATTGGTTACACACATACCACACTCTCTCGTAGGTTGATAATGAAACTATCAAATTCTTTAAAGAAGTCTGTAAAAAAAAAAGAAAAACAAAAAATCAATAATTGATATAGCTAAAGATAAAAAGACTCGTCAGTAACCCACAGAAATAAGATCAACTTTATACTTTTTAAAATGTATTTCATAATCAATTCGATGTTTAAGAGACAGATTATTATCATTATTCCATGTAGGTTTCAAAGAAGTATCTTAATCAAATCGATTACTATTTTCGGACGAATTTTCATATAATTCTGCTTGTTTCTGTGTTAGTAAATGAGCACGAGCACTCCACCTTGCCATTGCCACATATAAATGAAGGACCATTCCACGTTGATTGGGATGACAGGCTGAAAATATATTAGTGATATTATATGGTTTTAGTGAGAAAAAGAGAATACATAATATAAGAACTAGAGAAAAAAAAGAAAAATCGAAGGAGGCGGCCGTCACTGTCGGTGTAAGCACCTCGGATCTAACGACGGTTTTTTTTTAACCAAGGGGGACGCTGGTTCGAATCCTGCCGGTGAGCGCATATTTTTTGTTTAAAAAGATTTCTCGAATATTCAGACCGGTATACGAACATAAGTATAGTTCTCTTTTTTTTTTTTTTGTAATTGGTATTACCCCAAGCGAGGCAGTAAGGGCACTAAAACACAAGGGGTTACAGGGTGTGGAGGAATTAGGAACAGTAACATTAATAATGAGTAGAAAGAGAAAAGAGTAATCTGGTGAACAGTAGATAGCGATTGAGATTGCATTTAATTTTTTGCAGATTAAACTTGATAGAATGCATGGAACCGGAAGGGGGTTCCACAAGTGAGAAGTTCGAGAAAAGAAACTGTTAGCATAGAACTTACGGTTGCATCTAGTAAACTGCACATTGATGAAATCTCGACTGTTTAACAAATAAACGGAACGTCCACTCAAATATGTGTATTGATTAAAAATAAAGTTAAAGGAATAGAATCTGTCGGACTGTATTGCTCAAAGGAAATAAGAATTTGTAGACAATATTGGGTTGTGTTGTACATTACGCTCTGCGACAAAAAATAGTTTTTTTTTTTCGTTTTTCGTTAAACATTCCAGATTAGGAATCTTAATTCATTGTTTTATTTAATTACATTTTAGACAAAGCTAATTGCAGTTCAGTTTTTGATGTAAATTCATTGTAAATCGCCAAACGAAAATGCCCATACAACGTGATAAATAAAGAATCCAATGCTTCTTTAGAAATTATTTTCTGATACAAAAAAAAGTCTGTCTCTTGAAGTCTCTGGTCGAGTGAAACCACGGGTCCACTGGTGCTATACAGAGCCACCAACCCATCAGTGGCTACGTAGTGCAGGGTTAAAAGCTGAAAGTGAAGGTTTTATTCTTGCTGCACAGGACCAATGCTTGTTAACTAGGAATTATCAAGAACATATACTAAAATATTGTGAAACGATTGATCATCTTGTATCAGGTTGCACGATATTGACACCCACTGAGTATAAAACCCAGCATGACAGAGTAGGCCAATATCTGCACTGTAAAATATGCAACTTCTACGGGAAGGAAACTGAAAGAATCTGGTATGAACACCACCCAGACCCGGTTACGGAGATAGGATTTGTAAGAATTCTATGGGACTACAGAATACACACTGACAGAACAATCAAAGCCAACCGCTCAGACATTGTTATTAAAGACCACAAACGAAAAAGTACCTCCTTATTGATATGGCAGTCCCTGCAGACTGCAATGTATCTTTGAAGATATTCAAAAAGCTGTCTAAATACAAGTACCTTGAAATAGAAATCTCAAAAATGTGGTACATGGGAACATCAACAATCCCTGTTGTAGTTGGAGCCCTAGGATTGGTTGGAAAAGATTCCAGTAGACTAATTGAAGGGATTCCTGGAAATCCATGCCTCAAAGAAATTGTTCTGACAAGTACAGCCCACACTTTACGAAGGGCCTTATTTATGCAATTTTTTTTTTGTCAGTGGAAAGTGTCATGATGCCATTTCTAACCTTAGGTCCCTGGAAAAAGTTCAAATCCACTTTGGTGTAAGAATGCTATCTTCGTTTTTCCTTTTTGCGTTACATCGTGTCATAACAGATTGCATGATGCAATAAGAGTCAATATTCATTCATGATTTATGTTTGTCTTTGCCAAATTTGGGGTCGTTGTGATCGTATATGTATGTATAGTGAATTAGGTTTAGAATACGAGCAAAATAATCCTCTCTTTTACCTACACGAAGGGTCCAAATCGTAGCTCCACGCGAACTTGTCCTGGGTAAATGACATCCGGCAGCAAGGCCTCTGATCGGGTGACTGGAGGTTTTGAGGAGCGTGGATGCACCTCTTAATTGCTGTTGTTCCCAGGACCGGAGTGGTGGCACTCGCGAAGTCCCCAGCTATAGTGAACCCCGTAAAATAGTGAAACACTATAAAAGTATAAAAATACAATTTCATAGTAGAATTACCAACGATACATTTTGAAAGCAGAATTGCGAACAATAAATTTTATAGCAAAATGACCAACACTATATTTTTATCTGTAATTGAAGCCATGAAACTGTGTTCAAAATATTCAGATTCCAGCATTAAATGATCCATAAAGGTTGATATGCCACTAAGCAAAATCAAACATCCAATATGAAAAAAAGATTTTCAGGGGATTTATCCATATAATATCCTACAATTTCTTAAAGAAATCAATTAGTATTCCATAATATAACTTCAACAAAAATACAACATAATCAATGGACGGAAAGTTGCTTACTGGACATTTGCGTCAAGGACAATTGGTTCCCCGGAAATTTGTGTCCTTAGATAAATGCGTCCCTGCATCATTACGTAGTTCTTCTTCTTCTTCTTCTTCTTCTTCTTCTTCTTCTTCTTCAGCATCATCATCATCATCCTCATCCTCTTTTTCTTCTTTTTTATCTTCTTCATCTTCTTCTATTTGATCTACTGCTTCTTCATCTTTTTCTTTTTCTTCCTTTTCTTAATCTCCTTTGTCTTCTTCTTTTTTTCCTTCATCATCATCATCAGCAGCAACATCAGCATCATCATCATCTTTTCTTCTTTTTTATCTTCTTCATCTTTTTTTGCATCTACTTCTACTTCAGCAACATCAGCATCATCATCTTCTTTTTCTTCTTTTTTATCTTCCTCTTCTTCTTCATCTTCTTCTTTTTCATCTACTACTTCTTCTACTTCATTCTTTTTTCTTTTTCTTCTTTTTCTTAATCTCCTTTGTCTTCTTCTTTTTCCTCATCTTTTTTTCTTCTTCTTTTTTTTCTTCTTAAACGTTTAATGAAAATCATACAATTCAAATACAAATGCTGTCATTAAAGTAATAATTCAAAAGAAAAAGAAAAAAAACACGAAGAGGAAGAAAAAGAAGAAGAAGAAGAAATAAAAGAAGAAGAATGATTAATAATGAATAAGAATTATTATCAATACTTCAGAGATCTGAATAAAACATTTTATTATTTTAAATGTTAATATAGGCTCCTTAACATCGAATAACATTCAACTGTTTTTAAGCGCCCTGTCGACTGGGGCTTCCGAATACGCCAACTGCACCCCTGCAAAGGGGTACGACACCCCCAAATGAGGCGTCCTGGGTAAGACGATAAACTACAATCAACAAGACCTCTGATCAGGAGCATTTGAGGAGCGTGGAACCACCTCTTAATTGCTGGTGTTCCCAGGTCCACCCTGACCCGGGGTGGTAGCACCTGTTAGGGTCCCAGCTATGGGAAAATAATTAACTCCAAAATTGGGGGTCATGAAAGTGTAAAAATAGATTTAACACCATCAATACATTTTTATAAAAGATTATTACCAGCAATAATCTTTGAAGGGGAAATTATTACCAGAAATATATTTTTGGAAAAAAATTAGTAGCAATACATGTTAGAAAAATATTACCATCAATAAAAATCTTGTCGGCATTAAATTACACATTGAGGTTGATATGCCATAAAACAAACCAAATCAAACCAATTAGTACTTCAACCATTAATTTTGTTCGCTTAGATTTTTATTATAACACTTTACAGTTATTAAACCTGTTTGCTTTATTTTCATTGTGTGGGCGTCACGTGTTAGCATATTTTAAGTGTTTATCAAAATTAGGTATATTTGAGCATTTTACTTTTTATGATGTTGGTTTCAAACTCAGGGAATGGCTGCTAAAATCCTCCCTTCCCAAGTTTATAGAAACATCCTACAGATCCGGTTCACACATCTCCCCGGTCTTTTGAACAGGAGTAGGGGCTTATTCCTTGTTTCCTGTTTAGGATTGGCTTTGCGGTTCCTTCTAAAGTCTTCTCATTCTCTTTCACTCCCAGTAGCCCTTTGCGTCTGAGTGGCCTTATCGCCTTCCTTAAGTTGAATTGATTAAAGAAAAAATTGATATACATGCTGGAATTTCAACCTACCCAATAAAAATAAACAATTCTTAGTTTATTCTTTTCTTTCTTTTTTCCTTTTTTTCCTTCATACCTCCCTTTCTTTTTTTCTTTCTTTCTTTCTTTCTTTCTTTCTTTCTTTCTCACTCAGATTGTTTATATAGCAAAAAATATAATGATAATAGTAGTAATAGTTAAAAAAGTGAGTAGTAAATATATATATATATATATATATATATATATATATATATATATATATATATAATAAAAGATACTCATAAAGCCAAAATAAAAATGAAAAATCTAGCTAAAACGAAATAGTTTAAATTGAAATTACATCCTCGTTCAACAGAGCTAAATCGAGATAAATTTATAAAAAAAAATAAACAATCTATGAAGTGAAATGGAAAACGAAAATAAAATACAATATAACTCGTTATAAAACAGGTTGTAATGTAGTGGCGAGGCATTTAGCTCCATTATGCTGTGAGAACCCTATGATGGATATGGGCCTAAATTGAACTTTATGGGTTTTAGGCAAACCATGGTGACGGGGACTAATAGAACGAGAGCGTGTAATCTGGACAGAAATATCAGCTTGTAGCACCCCACATCTAACTAGGCGTTTTTGGAACTTAGCCTCATAGATAACGTAGACTCGTATTTACCTACTGGGTCTAGCTGAACAAATTTAGAGATATCCTCAAGCAAGTCATCGTTTTAATAACATAAGCTTGATAGTCAAGAATGACGACCCCTGAACCTTTTATCCGGTTTTGTAATAAAAATAAAATAGGGGTACCTGCGTAGGAATGTGCTTAGTCATTCAGTTTCGCCTTGAGATCAGTCAATCAGTTGTGTGACATGCGTGATACACGCTTAGGTGATTATGTATCTTTCAATACATGACTGACGAGGCAGATTTTTCCCCCAGGAAGTTGCCATTTCTTTCTGCGGTAGACCAGTTGCCATCCAAGGCTATAGAACTGGGTCTGCTATTTAATCTTATCTGGAGGGAGAAAAAGAGAATTCATACCTTTCCCAAGGTATGTAAGCGAATTTCACTCAGTTATGTGCCATGCGTGATAAACGCTTAGGCGATCATGTATCGAAATATACATGACTGACGAGGCAGATTTGTTTCCCGAAATAGGTTGCCATTTCTTTCTGCTGTAGACCCAGTTGCCATCCAAGGCTATAGAACCCGGTCTGCCGTGCTATTTACCCATAGCTGGGGGGGGGGAGAAGAGAATTCATACCTTTTCCCAAGGGTATTAGTGAATGTAATGGATTCGACCTGAATTCGAACTCGGCTCACCCATTCCTCAACCCGAACCGCTATCGATTACTCCAGTCTAGCCTACCGTGCAAAAACTTCAAACTGAATTAATTTCCTCCCGTTTAGTAAATGAGGGAGCGATACAAATATTCTAATCCATCCAAAAGTATAGAAAGTTCTAGCAAAGCAACTCATAGAGAGAAAGATGAAGAATATTCTGATTAATATTAGGAATTGCAGAACAATCATTTTTTTTGCATGATTAAAAAAATACCATGAATTATGGAATGATTCTATAGGCACAATATCTTTTTTTTTTTATAGAATATGCTTTATACGTTAGGTTTCGCCATCTCATGAAGGCAGCCTTTACAGGTTGACCTCTAAACACCAGAATGAACTGCAAAATTTAATTTATAAAAATATTAGTTGTCCAGTCTTAATATTAATTAAAAACCTCTTGTATTATTTAACTCTGTTCTTTCTCTTCTTATTGAGAATTTTGTATTTGATAATATCTGCTTTCTCTACACATATTCTGGAGTACAACCACCACTTCCTTAATGAAGGGATGGTAGGTCATCTGCATCGTTATTTTCAAATAGGATCCTCGTGCTGCTCAGGCTATAAAATTGCTGTCTACTGAAAGCAAGGTTGCCACACACAGTCAGAAAGTCCTTTACCATATATAGCATTTAATCTGCTTCAAATTTCAATTGTCCAATTAAAAAAGTGTTTTTGATGTTGTCGTGTTTGTTTTGAGTCTTCCCTAGTCCTCAGCTCTATTTTCTTCACTTCAAAGAAACTTGCATTCTTCAAGGAATTTGCAGGTGTTTTCATTCCACTGCTGTTGCCATTTGGGGGGGTTTGGAACAGGGAGGTTTGCCGATCCTGGTCCTCAGGTCAATATGGGGGATTATAAACTCATCAATGAATACCATGTCCAGAACTGACTTAGCTTTTGAATCAGCTCCTGTTATTTTCCCCGAATTCCAATCTAGCATGCGATCCAACATAACCCAATCTTTCTTGACTTGTACATGGAATCTAGTCTGGCTGGGAATTTAACAATTAAGAACTTAACCAAGCAGGCATGAACTGAGTTCAAATTCATTGGAATGAGATGGAGATTTTTTACCCCTCCTCATATAAAAATAAATTATTTCTATAAAATTTTAAATGTAAATTTTTTAAAAATTATAATAACATTGTTATCTTTTATTAAAACGAGATGCAAATATGTTACTAAAATCTAATAATTTGCTGATTTTTGGTAGATTTTTCAAAATTGAGATTTTTGCCAAATAATATTTAAATGTAAATTTATATATATATATATATATATATATATATATATATATATATATATATATATATATATATAATTATTTATTTAAAAATATGATTCCAAGACATAAGAGGTCTCATGTTTCAAAACAAGAGCCGAAAACTTCAATATAATTATTTTGTTTTGAAACATGAGACCTCTTATGTCTCGAGTTGGAATCATATTTTTAAATAAATAATTATATTTATGCTCTATTTTTGTATCGAGCAATATTTTTAAAAAATAACTAAAATACTAAGGAACTTTGGATTATTTACCTAACCAGTTCCTTCCTATTTTCTATATATTTTGATATATATATATATATATATATATATATATATATATATATATATATATATATATATATGTCTTTAAATACCTGCTTTCCCTACACATATTCTGGAGTACAACCACCACTTCTTTAATGAAGCGATGGTAGGTCATCTGCATCGTTATTTTCAAATAGGATCCTCATGCTGCTCAGGCTATAAAATTACTGTCTACTGAGAGCAAGTTTGCCACACCCAATCAGGAAATGCTTTACTGTATATAGTTTTATTATATGGCTCATTACCACTTACAATTTTGTGAAATTTTTACTTTGTTACTGACTTATAGTTACTTTGCTTTGCCTTGCATTACATTCTCCTCTTTCGTATTATTTTGACCTGTTTTTCCTTTTTTTCTCTTCTTATTGTTATTGAGAATTTTGTCAATTCCGGTTAACCATACCTGCTTCCTCAACGGAAGTGAATGTGTCATGCGAGATTATATCATCTGCAAATGTTTGGATCTCAAATTCTTCGTATTGATACACATTGGACACATTAACGACATAAAATAAGTATGTGTCGTCTACACAATTGTTGGGGTGCACCCACCTTCTCATCCGAATGGACTGATCTCTCTACTACTAATAGGACAGTTCTATAGAGTTCTGGGAAGATCAGGTGACCATCACACTTCCGTCTCTCTACCGGAAGATACAGTTGGACTTTATACTCTTTCTGATTGTTACTGACTAACCTGCGTTCGTTTGACTACTAATCTCTCTGTTGTAAATACCTCTTCAGATATACCAGTATTTTTTCCTACGTATGTGTTTGTCCTTATTTCAATACACGCACGCGGAAACACTCAACATCTCAACAACAATCAAATAAATAAAATAAATAAAAAATAAATAAGATAAAATAGAATTTAAAAATCAAAACAATTCCGTGCCCTTCCAAAATTTCTGATGAAGGTAAATAAACATCGAAACATTTGAAGTAAATAACAATTAAAATATTCGCAAGGAAAGTTGGTTCTCTGTGTCGAACCAGAAAGTTTTGTCTTGTCTGAGTCCCTCCTTCAAATCTATAAATCAACCATTCGTCCTTGCATGGAATATTGCTGTCATATATGGTCTGGTGCCCCGCTGTACGTCTCGAGGTCCTTGACAAAATCCAGAGATGAATATGCAAGATGATAGGTCCTGATCTGGCATCTAGTTTACAATCCCTATCCCACAAATGGGCTGTGGCCTCCCTCTGTCTCTTCTACAAATATTTTAACGGCAACTGTTCCGACGAGCTACTTTCGCTGGTTCCCGGACTACATGAATTTAAACGTGCTACCAGGCTGGTATCTCAGTCCCATCCTTTCACTGACAAAAAGGTTAAATGTAAACCGTCTCTTCTACTCAAACAGCTTCTTCTCCCGCACTTCCCGCCTGTAGAACTCCCTTCCCCTTACTTGCTTCCTCGATGACTATAATCTTCAAATATTCAAGTGTAATGTCAATCGACATCTGATCCCCTGAGCTTCTTCCCCGTCCTTCTCTGTATCGTTTCCTCAAACACGCCTCTTTATTCTTGTTCTCAATACTCTTCAACCTCTTGCGTGCTTGTGGCACTCCCGCCTTGCTTGGGGTGAATTGCTTTATATAAACAAAAAAAGAAAGAAAGAAGAAAATTAGTATAACATAAGTAAGTGACACATAATGCTATCCTTAAAAAATGAATGTTCAGTGTGTTATTAAACCAGGTATATACGGATGTTGTAACGGGCATTTGCCGGGAAAATGAAATCAACGAACCGAGTTCAAACTCCGGCCTTACACTTATAAATTCCTTTCGGAAGGGCACGAATTCATCTCTTACTCCTTCAGCTATGGGTTAATTAGTAAGGCAAGTTTTGAGTGGCAACCAGTTTAAGAGAAGGAAAACTCTGAATTTAAAACTATGTAGAGAATTTCTCCGGCATCTTTACAAGAATGCGTTGCAATTCAAAGAATGGAGCTGTCGAGAGCCATGATCGTCTACGTCCTGAAGGGGACATGGCAGGAAATAATTACTTAACCATATAAAGTGGAATTAGGTAAAAAAATGGCTTAAATGAAATGAGAGAAAAACGAGGCAAAACTAATTTTGCATTCTGCTTCTTTATAACTAGCTGTCCTGGGTATGACGATAAACTACATCCGGCATCGAGCTCTCTGATCGGGATCTTTTGAGGAGCGTGGAACCATCTCTTAATTGCTGTTGTTCCCAGGTTCACCCTTGACCAGGTGTGGCACGTGTTAGGGTCCAAGCTTTGGACAAATAGTTACCCCCACCCCCAAACTGGGCTCCAAACACTATGAAAGTATAAAAACACTCTTTACGTCAATGAAACTTGATCTACAAACTGATTTCTTACAAAGATATATATATTCTATCCTAAAAGTATTGTCGGCATTAAATAACCCATTGAGGTGTTGATATGCCGTAGAACAAAATAAATCCAAGCTCTGATCTACAAACTGATTTCTTACAAAGAATACATATTCTATTCAGACGAATCTATCCTAAAACACTAGTCGGCATTAAATAACCCATTGAGGTGTTGATATGTCGTAGAACAAAATAAATCCATGCTCTGATCTACAAACTGATTTCTTACAAAGAATACATATTCTATTCATACGAACCTATCCTAAAACACTTGTCGGCATTAAATAACCCATTGAGGTATTGATATGCCGTAAAACAAAATATCAAGCTCTGATCTACAAACTGATTTCTTACAAAGAATACATATTCTATTCAGACGAATCTATCCTAAAACACTAGTCGGCATTAAATAACCCATTGAGGTGTTGATATGTCGTAGAACAAAATAAATCCATGCTCTGATCTACAAACTGATTTCTTACAAAGAATACATATTCTATTCATACGAACCTATCCTAAAACACTTGTCGGCATTAAATAACCCATTGAGGTATTGATATGCCGTAAAACAAAATATCAAGCTCTGATCTACAAACTGATTTCTTACAAAGAATACATATTCTGTTCATACGAACCTATTCTAAAACAGTTGTCGGTATTAAATAACCCATTGAGGTGTTGATATGCCGTAGAAAAATAAATCCAAGCTCTGATCTACAAATTGATTTCTTACAAAGAATATATATTCTATTCATACGAAAATATCCTAAAAATCTTGTCAGCATTAAATAACCCATTGAGGTGTTAATATGGCGTAAGTCAAACCAAACCAAACCAAACCAAACACTTGTCACGCGGTGCGGATCTCTCTCTTTTCGGTCAGTCAATGTATCGAACCGTATCACTAACGGTATCAGTTCACAAATGCATTGCCCCTCTGCTATCACTTTCTGATTTAAACCATCAGTCTCCTGTCTCTTTTATAAATCACTTTTCCTATCTGAGTCCCCGTCATTTCAACTGCGACGAGCGATTAATTCGTCACAAATCCGACCCTAACCCCAACCGCTACTAAAATCGTCCGAATTTAATTGAAGCTCTTTTTTTTTGTTTGTTTAAACGCTATTTCTTCACCTCGACCTCCAATTTCTCCGCCGTCATTTCGCTCATTGTCCCGCCTTCCCCACGGCCACCACTTTTCACCTCCGACGACCAAGTATCGTGACTCTTGAGGGAAAAAAAAACCGGGAATTTTTTGGCATTTTTTTGATGTTTAACAAATTGCCCGTAACAAGGACAGTGAAATTGCTTTTGAAACATCAAGACTCGCAGATCTATCTATCTATCTATCTATCTATCTATCTATCTATCTATCTATCTATCTCATTCTGTTCATATCTATCTATCTATCTATCTATCTATCTATCTATCTATCTATCTATCTATCTATCTATCTCATTCTGTTCATATCTATTTATCTATCAATCATTCTATCTATCTATTTCATCTATCTATCTATCAATCTATCTATCTATCTATCTATCTCATTCTGTTCCTATTTCTATTCCTATCTCATTCTGTTCATATCTATCTATCTATCTATCTCATTCTGTTCCTATTTATCTATCTACCTATCTCATTCTGTTCATATCTATCTATTTATCTATCTCATTCTGTTCCTATCTATCTATCTATCTATCTATCTATCTATCTATCTATCTATCTATCTATCTATCTATCTCATTCTGTTCATATCTATCTATTTATCTATCTTATTATATTCCTATCTATCTATCTATCTATCTATCTATCTATCTATCTATCTATCTATCTATCTGTTATGGTCCAGGTTAGGACCAAGGAAAACAACACGAACACAAGAGTAGAAATATTACAAGAAATAATAATACAAGATGTGGAAGGTGTTAGTATGACTGTCAGTCTGGTTTGGAGTGAACTACTATCGTCTCGACTCCATTCGACCCTCTCTCTTGAGCGGCGTAGTATACATAGTGTTAGGAAGTGTTCATTCTGTAGTTATAGGTAAGGACCCATGACACTATCAATCTATCTATCTCATTCTGTTCATATCTATCTATTTATCTATCACATTCTGTTCCTTTTTATCTATCTATCTATCTATCTATCTATCTATCTATCTATCTATCTTATTGTGTTTCTATCTATCTATCTATCTATCTATCTATCTATCTATCTATCTATCTATCTATCTATCTATCTCATTTTGTTCATATCTATCTATTTATCTAGCTAGATAGCTATAATTATCTTTCATGTGTTTTTCTCTTTATTATCCCTCATTCTATTTGATCTTCCATGCATTAATATAAACTCCTTAAGTAATTTACTCGTTGTTTCTCTTTGTCCTTCTTTGTCTTCACTATCCCTTATGAGCATCATAATCTCCAAACCCTCTTTCCTTATTATGTATCCTAGACATTTCGCTTGTCTCCTTCTGATTCTAACTATCAGCTTCCATTTCGTTTCCATTTTCCTAGTTTCTCACATGCTTCGTCTATGTTATTCACTGCATACTTCTATAGAATCATGTTTGAAGATTTATAGTACAGAGCAGTTCAGCGCTCTTTTCTTTGTTTCTAACAAAAGATTTTCTGTTTCTTAATGTTGTGGAGTAGCTGAACACTGCCACAAGATGGACTGGTCTAAGACTATTTAAACAGTACTCTCTCTTACTGAGAGAGAGCAGTTAACGATTACAGTTAACTCTGTCGCTTCACTGCCTCCTGGCGGAGAGTAACCCAGACGAAGCTATGTCGAAGGGCAGAATCTTCGTCTGGGGAGGTAGACAGCTACCCGACCGGTAGGGAGTCTACGCGCAATTATTGCCCCAGATTATGGGCTTGGAACGCCCCACGTAAAAAAAAAAAAACGCTCTTGTGCTACATCCTGCCTTGTGGGTAGACCTCGGGTAAGTACCGAACACTTAACGATTGCAGTTAACTCTGCTTTTCGACTGTCTGCCTTCAGGCGGAGAACTACTCAGAAGTGTCTTGGGCAGAGTCTCTTCTGGGGAGATAGACAGCTGCCCGACTCCGTGTATGCGCTGTCTACGGTGAATTTTTGCCCGAGCGTAAGCGCTCGGAAAGCTGCAGTTTAAAAACTGGCCTTGTGCCACATCCCGCCCTGTTGGGAGGTTTCGGGTAAACACGGTAGAGTCAACGATTAATCGTTACTCTGCTTGACGACTATCTGCCTTCGGTCGGAGAGAAACCCAGACAAGGCTATGCCGAAGGGCAGAGTCTCGTCTGGGGAGGTAAACAACCACCCGACCCGATGATGGTGGGATCTACGGGGTATGTTTGCCCGGGTGTACGCGCTGGATAGTCCCACGTTAAAAACCGGCTTTGTGCCACATCCCACCTTGTGGTGAGGTCTTGGGTAAACATCGAAGTGTTAACGATTAACTCGTCGACCTCTCTTCCTCCGGGCTGAGAGGAAACCCGACAATGATATGTCGAAGGGTAGAGTCTCCTCTCGGGTGGTAAACAGCAACTTGAATCCGTGTTTACGTGGTCTATGGTTAATTTTTGCCGAAGCCCACGAGTTCGAAACGCTCCACATAAAAGCGGCCTTGTTCCACTTCCTGCCTTGTTGAGAGATCTCGAGTAAATACTGACGATTTACGATGTAAATATTATGTATTTTTTTCTCTGGAGAATAAATATATTTCTTCTGTTGCTCTCTATTCAAATGAATAAATGCAGAGTGTGTTAATCACCCTTTCATCTTTGATAAGATTATATGTCTCTATTCTTTTAATTATAGAAAGAATCTTTTCTCCAAAGAAAAAAAAAGGACCTTTCCCCATTTCTAAGGCAGATGTTTACGTGTATGGGCTTCAGTAGTGAAAATGGCCGAGGCGTCTTCAACGAAAAACTACCTTGAATTTATTTATTTTTTTTTAGTAGTGCGACATATCATGACCTATATCTCAGGCGGCCCATTCTTTGAAAATGGTTGCTCAGGCCCGTCTAAAAGACTATTCCGTCTGGGTATTTTGTTTGATTTTTCATGAAGTGCCACATATTCGCGCCTGACATGTTTTGACCTTCCGATTAAATTAAGAAATTAACCTCTCAGTTTGACTGGAGACATTTCTGCCGCCCCTAATTCTACAGCTGGTGTCGTCAATTTGAAATCCGGAAAATTTATCGACCAAAAACTTTATGATGAGAATAAAGTGAAGATACGCATAAAAGAAAAAAAAATCTTTGATCTCAGAACTTGGAACAACTTCAAAATCACGCACAAACGGCTGCACACGCACGTAAACACGTGCGCGCGCGTACACACACACACACAGACACACACATATATTTATTTATTTGAAGGAATATAGTTTTAAGGTGTGCTATATTTATGGGATAAAGTGCTCAATATCAGAGGTAGAGCGTATGTAAATATAAATATAAAAGTGAACTTTGAAGTCAACACTCAGAGGCGACAGGCTGTTTAATGCCAGACGCAATCGTCAGGCCACGAGTGTTCTCGCATGAAACAGCCTCGCTTAGCAGGAAACAGCCTATCGCCTCCGAGTGTTGACTCTAATGTTCACTTTCATATCTATCTATCTATCTATCTATCTATCTATCTATCTATATATATATATATATATATATATATATATATATGTTTCATTGAATTATATAGAGAAGTTTTGTCGACTTATTTTCAATTGTATCCTTTTATATTCACGGAAAGCCATTTTGGAGATCAAAGGAAGAGAGAAAATTACCGTGTTGAAACATGTTATTTTATTCCGAGTATTTTCGACATTAGCACAATGTCATCATCAGGGTGTTGTTTATTTCAAGACAAATATTGTAGTGTTCATCATTTTCAAAGACAAAATTGCTGTGTTCATCTGGAACTTAATTTTTTTTTTTTGCTTGTGAATTGTAGAATGCTCAATGTTGAGTACTGTGCGATTGGCTGGAGTAATGCTTCAAGGGAGACAACTAAGTTAAAGTGTTGTCGAGAGTTTTTAAAAAATAAGTATTAAAACTTCGGTATTTTAAACTATCTACTGTAAACATTTTAAAACATTTCTGCAGTATTCATAATTAATTTTATTAAGGATTGTTTCAATTTCTTAATATAGATAGCTGCAAGAATTTTTAGTTGATGTTTATTATTTTCATGAAAATATATATTTTATCTTCAACAAGAATACTGCGCAACCGACCTTTTGACAGTCTGCCATTTTATCGGGGCACAAAGATCTAAGTTTGGCGGGATTTTATTATTAATATTGAGTTTGTAATTAAAGTTTGGGACGGGGTTACTCTCAAATGTTTCGTTAAAAAATTGTTTTATTACGCCAATTTTTTTTTTTTATAGTAATATGTCGTCGATATGGGAGCTTTGTGGAATTATTGAAAACTACATGTGTCATTTAAAAATTAGCTAGATTTAGCCTAAGTGGTGAACCCATCGCTACACCGTAAGTTTTCGTATAAATGTTACCATGGTGGTCGTAAAAAGCTACTTGTATCGCGCAGGATAAAATAAGTTTTCACAGAATAGTTGTCCTAATTTTAGAAGGTGGGGAAAAAGGGGCAAATTTATACATTCTATATGAGTGTCTAGAGTTTCTTTCACTGGGACATTAGTCAATAAGCCAGGCATCGGCAACCTTTTTCGAGCAGTGGGCCGCATGATGAAGTAGAGACTTGAAGCAACAGAAATGTGGTTCTACAGATAGAAGCCGAGGAGGCCAAAGACCGATTCTATGAGCAACAACCAAAAAGAAAAAATATAATGAGTATCAGGAAGAGACAGATGAAATTTCTATGGCCCATAAGAAAGAAAGAGGGCTTGGAAAATCTGACACTCACAGGACAGATTGAAGGCAAGAGGAAGGGAGAAAACAGCGTATAAGATACTTAGATTGGGTAAATTGATGGCTGAACTGGGTTTAGGGGAATTAACAAATGATATGACTCAAACATAATTGAATATACTAGTGTTTTCTTTTTGTCTGTTTTCACTCAATCTCTGACGAAGCTTTAATAAAAGTGAAACATGTTAGATTCATATACGTTTCATATATATATATATATATATATATATATATATATATATGAAGAAATATAGTTTTAAGGTGTGCTATATTTATGCGACAAAGTGCTCAATATCGGAGATAGAGCGTATGTAAATATAAATATAAAAGTGAACATTGAAGTCAACACTCAGAGACGAGAGGCCTGACGATTGCGTCCAGCATGAAACAGCCTCTGAGTGTTGACTCAATGTTCACTTATATATATATATATATATATATATATATATATATATATATAAGGAGGCACGGTGGAGTGGTGGATTGAGGCTCGGATTGAGGAATCGGGTTCGAATTCCAGTCGAATTTATTACATTCACTTACGTGTTAATACCCTTGGGAAAGATATGAATCTTCTTCTTCTCCCTCCAGCTATGGGTAAAGAGCAGATGAGCAACTGGTCTAGGAGAAGGACAACTCTGAATTCAAAGCCTGCGGAGGGTCTTTTGGGAATCATGTGGAACGTGGTGCACCAGGTCTATATATATATATATATATATATATATATATATATATATATATATATATATATAGTATGTTAATTCCAACATTAACCATTTCCTTCTAAGGAAATACTCGGCATTCATTAATCGAGGAGTTCACGCTTATGCAAGTATGGTGGGTTGAAATTTATAAAGTCTCTCTCTTAAACTTTTTTCAGGAAAATAGGTTTCTCAATGTCCATTAACTGTTATCGCTCTTTCCAGTATTAATGGAGGTTTCCTTCCCTAACCTTTTTGTTTGAAGTGGTGTGGAACGTCAACAACTTGATTATGTCATTATTTTACATGTGCTATTCATTTTAGTTATTGCTTCATTTGATAGACCTCAAGTGATGCTGTTTCTGTTAATGATACGTATATATATATATATATATATATATACGTATATATAACTAACTTAAAAGCCGCCATTTCGGACAGCAATTAAGCTAACTCCTACGGAGGGCTCTTAATTGTGCCTTCGGCTTGTTCAGGAGTTTGAGACTCCCTAAGTCTTTGCATATTATCACCATTGAAAGCTCTTCTGGCTGTCTTTTGATCTGTGTTTTGATTGCGATCTGGTCCTCAGTTGCCGGAGTTTTTTTTTACTGCTCTCGTATGCGATAGGCAAGAATCATCTACAGAAGAACTCAAAATTAATCGCTGCATTTAAGTATTGCATTAAT